ACAGAGAGAGACACACAGAGAGAGGGAACACAAGCAGAGGGAACGGGAGAGGGAGAAACAGGCTTCCCGCCGAGCAGGGAGCCCGATGCGGGGCTCGATCCCAGGACCCTGGGATCATGACCTGAGCCGAAGACAGACGCTTAAGGACTGAGCCACCCAGGCGCCCCTCTCCAGAACTTCTTTTCTGCCACCATCCCATGCAAAACGTCACCCTTTTTGGCTACTCACCCACTCCTGGGCTGCTCGTCTCCCTCTTAGGCACAATAACTTCCCTCTGTACGGAAGCTTCGAGGCCAGACAATATTCCTCATCCAAGCACTCTGAGAATTTTCCCAAAAAAAGAGGGCCTAGAAATTTCTGTATCAACTTCTAAGAGACCATGAAAGTATCCATCTCCTTGCCTGCTGGAGATCTGCAAAGTGATGCATTTGAGGTGTGAGTAAAAGATCCTGAGTCCATCCTATAAGAAAGAGATTCCCTGCCATTCTGCTGCTGATGCCCTGAATGGATCCCAGGGGCGGGTGCTAGGATGTGGAGCCCTCGGCTCTCAAGTAACCAGTGTTTGCCTCAGTGAGCTACATATTTTCTATGTGTGCCATGACTTTAAAGGACTGGGAAGCACCGCTATGAGTCATCCAGTGAAATGTCTAGGGCTTGTCGGTGCCAATAAGTGAGAGAACGTAACCTCGAGAGAGTGAGAGAGAGGGAGAGAGAGAGAAGGCAAACGGGACAATGAGAAGTAGGTGGGAGGACTGACCAGGGTCAGAGATGTGTTTGGTGACCTTGGAAGAATGAAACCCGGTGGTCCATCCAGAGACCCAACCCTTGAACTCATTAGCAAGGCCCTGTTGGCAGCTATTCTCATGGCCACAGATGTGAACTTATACTTGTCGAGATCAAGACTGTCAATTCATTCGAGATGCAAGGTCAGCTTGCCACTTTGAACTTTGTTCCTATCACAGCCATTTAATTATTTTGTGAGTTCTTAGAATTCTCTGAGGAAAAAATAAAGCTGGCTTCAGAAGTACAATATCTAACACTTTTTCAGGTTACAATATTTTTATGAACTGTGAGAAACTTACAGCACCTTAAAGAAACTACATAAAGGGGCGCCTGGGTGGCTCAGTTGGTTGGGCGACTGCCTTCGGCTCGGGTCATGTTCCTGGAGTCCCGGGATTGAGTCCCGCATCGGGCTCCCTGCTCAGCAGGGGGTCTGCTTCTCCCTCTGACCCTCTTCCCTCTCGTGCTCTCTATCTCTCATTCTCACTCTCTCAAATAAATAAAAAATCTTAAAAAAAAAAAAACTACATAAAGAAGGTGTCAGCATTTTCAATGTAAACTCCATTTCCAAAGGTTTATGCAATCTGGAGAAATTTGCTTGAGGGTGAAACTTGGCATATGGTGCCTGAGTCCCTGACTGTCTACATCTCATTTCATAGGTACTTACAAATGAGTTCTTCAAATTCACTACATTTGGCACCTGTAATTTTTAGAAATAAAAGAATGGCTTTAATAGCAGGTGGTTTGTGAGTTTAGTGTTAAGAGCACAGAGTTCTCAGAATTCAGGAATAGCAAAAGTCCTGTTTTATAGAATCTGGTAGGACAATATTAGGAAATAAATAAATAAAAGGAAAGAAGGGGAAGGAAAATAATTTAAGGGGACAGAAATCAGAAAATGTCAGTATTTTCAGAAGGGGACTGTCCTTGGCCTGCCTTCATCATTTTTCCTACCCTACACCTCTCCTCGCCTTATTTCCTACCTTGTATTATAGACTAAGCCAGCACATACAGGGCTTTGGGGGCTGGGACTTTTCCCCCAGAAAATCACTGAAGAGGCAGCCAAGAATCTCATTTTGCTTTTTGAGTCTTCATTTGAGGGGACTGGATTCAGTGCTCTCTGAGCCATCAAATACTCGGAGGGGAAAGGGTTCTTAGACAAAGCCAGAAAAACTGCCCTTGGAGGCAATGCCTAGCATCTAGTCCAGAGAGCTGCGATTAATGCCAGAGAACCTTGGCATGGAAGTCTACGGATCAATTGAAGAAGGCAGAGGGAAGCGATACTGAGCAATCATGGTCCTCAGAAACCATGCAGATCAGGATGTGCAGGCATCCTGCATGGGGGCAGCAACCATGCAAGTACAGGGAACATTAACAGTAGACTCACACCTCAGGATGCGGAGCATGGGAGCCAGCTAGAATTCAGGCGCCTGTTCCAATTCCAAAGGGGAAGCTGAGTGCCTTGCCTAGGAGCAGGATGGGGTGGGGGGGGCATTCTGTGAGCTTTCTGTCCACAACGCTGTCTCAATGGCTATTAACTGAGTGGACCCCACTTCTGGGTTTATCTGTACTTTTGGGAAGGATCAGGATAGTTTGATGGTTAAGAGCCTGGTCTTTGTAGTTAAGCCTGACTGGATTCAAATCCAAGCTCTTTATCTATACAGCGCATGGCCTTGGGCAAGTTACTTAACGCTTTTGAGCTAGGGTTCCTCATTTGTAGATGGTGATGATCGTTCTTACTTTATAAGGTCATGAAGATGAAGCCATAACTCCAAGAAAGGAGTGAAGTCCTAGTGGCTGCAATAAGCAGCCAAACTTGATGATTCGTGTCCACAAAAGGGAAAGAGCTCCCCATGTCTTATCCTGGTGAGCACGCTTTAGTTGGGGGCTACGCTATTCTGAAGGTGCTGGGAGTAAGTTAGCACGGGAGGCAGCCTGGGGCATGTGGGGTCTAACACATCTCAGCTGTTACAGCCTGAGTCAGCTTCCCGTTGCCAAACACTGGGTCAGTTCTGATGAAGACCCACTTGCTCCTGGGTGAGACCAAAGTACTTCAGCCTCTTAGAATTGCTCCAAGTACAACACATGGACATGCTAACTCTGAGGGGTTTTGTATTTCTGGGCTAAAATGAAGAAAAGACTTTGAAATCTGAATAGCAGGGTGTTTCCTTTGGAACTTTTCCGGCAATGCCTCCCCATGCAAAGAGCTGCTCCTTTCTCAAAAAGGCCCTTCTGTAACAATCAGGTCCCCTTAATTGAGGAGGAAATGAATAGAGAAGATAATGAACCATCTTTGAAGCTGGTTGAGAGTAAAGCTGGCCTGGTGGAGGCCTTGAAATGAATGGAGCTAAGGCTTGGCCCTCGTGATCCTGAAAAGGAAAAGCCCACCCCAGGCCATCACCATATGAATAGC